TTTAGTTTTAATTACTTTTTCTTATTTGTAAGTCGCTTTGGATAAAAGCGTCTGCTAAATGACTAAAAGTAAAAGTAAAGTAAATTTCAAAACACATTTAAAAACATAAAATAAACACAACAAAATCACAATAACAACATGATACAAGTGCTCAAAACTCCACCACCCTACAGCTTATTTAACACAGTTAAAACAGCGGGAATAATGCTGTTTTTATACCGCTTTGTCTTACACCTTGGGACTAGAAACCTCCATCCAGAGGGAAGAAGCTGAAACTCACTGTGCAAAGGGTGGGAGTCATCATTTGAAATAGAAGTAGCCATTCGCTGTAACTGTTTGGTATACAGGGATGCTGGATACAACTGTGACTCAACCACCAATCGACTAGACCAGGGCTGTCCAAACTCGGTCCTGGAGGGCCGGTGTCATGCAGAGTTTAGCTCCAACCCTAATTAAACACACCTGAAGCAGCTAATCAAGCTCTTACTAGGCATAGAAACTTCCAGTCAGGTGTGTTGAGGCAAGTTGGAGCTAAACTCTGCAGGACACCGGCCCTCCAGGACCGAGTTTGGACAGCCTGGACTAGACCATTAAACTATTTGGTTTTAGGAATTTCTCGCTTTTAAGGACGTGTGACCAAATCATGTGACCAAAGAAAAGGACAAATTTACCTTTGTCTGGGACCAGTTATGCTTGGCAATCTGTAGGCAACTTGATGCCTATAGTGACCTCGTATTTATACCATAGTGAAACAGAAAGTCATGTCCTAATTACTTATGGGACCTTATAAAAATACTTTACTTATATATTTACTCCTGAGAGTTTCTAGGGTTGCCAATACTTTTGAGACACATGTTTAAGACAAAGAATAATCATTTATTTCATATTTATTTTATTGGTTATATTTGACAAGGGTGCCATTTTTTATGTGTATATATTAAATATTAAAAGATTTTGTTGGACAAGTCTAGTTGGAAATTTGAAATAATCAATCATCAGAGAAAATAAGCCTCATGTGTGCTCACAATTTGTTTTTCTGTGTTTCCCCTGAACGTGCCCAAATGCTGCAGCTTAACTTGTTTTTAATCAAGTTCTCACTGTTCTTATCTGACACAGCTGCAAATGGCCTGGCCAAGCATTACACCCAATCCTTCAAAAAGAACATCCCAGACCTTTCAGATTGCCCCTCTGTTTAACATGTATTAGAACTCCAAGATAGAACAGCCACTGTCTTATTCACACACAAAACAAGCTTAAGACAATTACCTGAATGTTTGCCATTCTGTATTCAGCCCTTTCTTGGTGATAAAGGGCCAGCTTAGCAAAGGTCAGCTACCTGCTGTTGTTTGGCAGTAACATAATTTGTGTACTCTGTTGTTATGTGAGCGCCCATAAAGAATGTGAAAGGTTCTTTAGCATATGAATATGTGTGTTTGTGTTTCAGTACCCCCCAACCTGCACATTATTGGGAATCTGCCCTTTAGTGTGTCGACTCCTCTCATTATAAAGTGGCTGGAATAGATGTCTAACAGAACTGGGTGCTTTATGTTTGGAAGTACAAGGCTTACACTGACCTTCCAGAAAGAGGTGGCTGAAGTAAGACGAACAGTAACTGTTATTCCTGGTATTGTTCCTTTGGAGGCAATGTTTTAAAAAGTATTGTCTACAAATTTAGTTGCTGTCCAACGGGTCAACAACCAGTAGCTTTTGTTGCATGAAATCGATCGTAGACTAACTAGTACTACCTTATTTTCTTTTTTCAAGTTATGTTTGGAGTTTATGTTCCAAATATTGTAACATTATATTATATTGTAGAGGAAAACATTTTTACTTAATCTTTGATATAAAAGTTAATTGTTCTATGAAGACACACTAACTTTCAGAACTCCCCAGTGAAAAAATGACCAATTATAATGTTGATTTGACAAAGCCAACATACAGTACTGTTTTACTATTTAAACGTATCATTCTTCTGAGACAAAACTGTCTGTCTGTTCTTGGCAAGTAACTATATCACCCAACCAACCAGCTACAACAGCTACCAGCTACACCTAAGCAACATGTTAGAACATTTTGGCTGTATCTGAAATCGCATGCACTCTGGAGTAGGAGCTTCTTTTGAAGAAAAAAAAAAAACTTACTGTCTACAGACAATTAAAAAGGACTTTCTATATAGTATAAGTGCACGTTGAAAGAATTTTATATGAATGTACAACATTCATCATGTTGTCATTGTCATGTGACCTACCAGTGTCATATGTGGCACTTTACTGCCATTTCCGTAGCCTGATTGGATATTAAAGTGTCCAGTGGATGTTCACTTAGGTCACAGTAGGTCAACCGCATACTTTTTTCCTACTGTTTTATGAATGCTGTTAGTTTGGACTTGCTGCTCTTTTTGACATGCTGTTTTTTGTCTACTATATATACAGTATTTGGGATGTATGCATATTTTGATGTAGTCACCTATCAACACGCTAGAACATGTTAGCAACTTATAAGAAAGTAATAACCTTATACAAACTTGTAGTAATGTGCTAAACGATGCTAACAATGTCTAAACCCACACTAGTGCATACCACAACAACGCCTATTTGATGTTCAGAAACAGTGAAATCTTGTGCTATTGCTATAAGCAATATAAGCTATAAATATACCTCTTAATATATTTTTTTGCCTTGAATTGAGGTTTATTTTTAACAGAGACCTTGATCATTTCTGTTTGATCTTAAGTTTCTGCTTTCTTTCATTTTTTTGGAGGGCTGTCACAATTAAATTTAGGCTTTTCAAGTTTGCAACAAAGCAATGCTGTTCATTTCCCGTGCAAAGAGGACATTTACACAGAACTCCTAAAGGCACAGCAGAATAAAAATTGTCGTTTTATATTTATGTTGTGACGCAGCTTGAAATTGGCGTGAATCATGCACACTTTCAGGCTCTGTCACACTCTCAAGCCACAATATTAAATCTCACACCAAATAAGACAACTCAAAACTACTCATAGAAGTTTTTCAACAGCATGGAGCTTGATTCTCTAAAATTGGACCGCTCTAAAGCAGCAAGATTTAGCACCAATCAATTATTTTTTCAGCACTTCATAATGTGACAAAGACCTGAAAACAAGAATTAACAGCCTCTAAATGTCAAATATGTATTTTCATCAAATATTTGATGTTGATCATTATGCAAGAAATTTTATTTTTATATGAACAGTAGCTGTATAAGATCTTAATAAAGTGTTTTTAAATTTACAGGAAAAACAAATGTAATTAGATTAAATGAGTGAATATAGGTGTTCATTCTGAATATTCTACCTCTGGTCTGTTAACACTCAGATTGCGCTTTTTTCAGTTGTTGTTTACTGTCTTGCAGCTTTAAAACTGTGGACAAACAAGCTAAATGCTGTTTATTTTACAGCATTTTTAGCAGTTTTGGCACACACTGTAGCGCATACAAAATATTTGAAATATTTGTGTTTTTTTTATAGGCCTAGTGTTTTCTTGTTGTTGTTGTTTAAATTGGTTTGTAAGAAATCTAGGTGGCTGGGAGACCATGCAAAGGGTAATATTAGGTAACAAGTTTGCTAGTTAGAGTTTCTTTAAAAAAAGTACAGAAAGTACATTAAGAACAACATTAAGCTTTTCTTTTTCTTCTCTTTAATTTCTAGAGGTTAACAGCCAGCACAGGAAGCCGTCAACGCAGCCGTCTGTCTGTCATGGCTCAGTATCTCTGCACTGTCAAAAACTGTTTCACCATCCCAGGATGTGCCTTTGTTCCAAAACCTAATGTAAGTCCCTTTCTTCTGCCATTTATGTTTCTGTATCTCTCTGTGTTTGACTGCTCATGTGGAAGGATGTGGGTGTTGGCTCATTAGAAGAGCACAGAGTCAATGTTGTCTTAGATGTGGAATCAGAGATGGCGACGATTAGTGTGTAATGATGCCCACAGGGCATTTGGTACGCCGTTCTTTTGTAGAGTGAGGAAATAAGAGCCCTGTTTGAAAAGTTTAGCCTTGCTTCTTTACTCCACTGGAGTTTTGGGGTATGCCAAGTGTTTGTGGATAAGAAGGGTCCTATGAAAGAACGTACCTTACGCACGAAGTTCCCTTGTCTGTAAATATTTTATCCAGCCAGAGTGCTTTGGAATGGAGAAGAGAAGAAAGGAAAGTGGGACGAATTGAGCATTCTCTTGGATTAAATGGCACGGATGATCATTTCATTGCACACCACTGATGAAAGAAGTATCCTGCTTCATGAGGTTTCTCACAAGAAGTTACTGAAACATCTCAAGATAAAAATTGTACGAGAGTGATGATGCACTGCAGACATACTCCTGAGAAAAAGCTTAATTGTACTCTTTGAAATTGGATAAGTAATGACAGGACCTTTTTCCATTCACTGCATTCATTCCAGTTTTATTCAAATCTTTTTTTTTTTTTGGAGTGTGCTATTGTTCTATTTATAATCATGAGCATTAGCTGATATTGGCATGCCACTAGGGATGTTTTTTTTTTTTTATATGTGGCTTTTTTTTAATGTCTGGCAGTCTTGTGTGGACGCTGCAAGGCACCTTGTTCTGTCACATTGAGTGACTGTGTTTGTCCTTGAAGGCTTGTGGCCACAGTGATTGGTTGTGCATTGTATGTCCTCAGGCCCACGCTGCACTTGCTGGTCTCCTCTGTCATGGATCGCATTTGACACCCCCACCAGGTGCATTGCAAGGCTTTAACCCCAGCATTTGCCCACGCAGTGACTGCTACAGTAAATGTTAAATTGTGACATATTCAAACAAAAGTTCTCATTTCTAGCATGTTTGTCTTGTTCAGCTGCAATACAATCAAATGAACTGGTGTCATCGCCCACATTGTGTCTGCTGTAAAATGCTGCTGTTAGACAGAATAATTGCATTCTTTAGAATGACTGAATGAATATAATTATCATCTCTAAATCATCGGATGCAAAAGTGGTTCAGTAGCGACCCCCCCCCCACGTGTTTCACAAGCGTGGGGATGGGCTGCCGCCCCTTGAGCTGATGCGTGTACGGAGGCAGACATGGAGCCAGCTGCTACTGCAGTGTCCTTCCCACACACACACAGGATAGAAAGTGTGAGTAAAGAGGCAGACAGCTTGAGGATGGGCTCATGACCGAGATTGATCTGTAGAGAGAGTGAAGCATACCTCAAGCAGATGTTTGTCTGGATATTAAGAGTAATGGAAGCACTGGCACCTCCATCCCTCTAAGATCTCTGAGGAGATGATTCTACACAGCTGCACATGTGGGTGGATGACATTTGTACATGAAAATATGTGGGGGAAAAAAGCATAAAGAAGACATTAAAAATGATAGTTTTGGACAAATACATATGGCCTTTCAGGATTTATAGTATATGATAGCTGCAGTTTGGTCTTTGACTGGAAAGGGCAGTCTTTTTTAAAATAAGAGACTTATCCAATAATCAAAAAGGACTGGAAAAGTCATTCTATTAATTGGTCAAAAGGTGTAGGAACTCTGCAGAACACATCATCTCACTTCAATTCTTATAATGCTTCAGTTACTTTAACAACAAAAATGGAATACAGCTATTTTCAGCTTATCCTATGAAATTTTCTTATCACACATATATTTCAGCTATCATTTTTGAATGCTGCAACAAATGGTTTTGGATCACATAATGTTATAAAAATAAAAATCTGAATATATTCCTGTAGAGACTTGCTATTCTGCAACAGCACTATTCTGACATTATTTTCTTAAGAAATAAAAGAGAAACAAAAAAACAAAAAAAACTTTTCTGAAATGATACCCTGGACATAAAAAGGTGTCATTTCAACTACCCATACATAGAAAGGCCAGTCGCTTTTTTTCTTTTATGTCCATTTTAAGGATCATTAAACTCTTTTTGACTGTAGCACCATGGGACCATCACAGAAAATTAAACCTCACAGAATGAATAATGGGGTCATATTTGGTATAAGTAGTGCTCCATTTTAATACATGTTGTCAAATGAGGTATCAGGAGTAAAGGAAGGTTATTTCAATGTCTCAAAAAGCCGGCAGCCTTACTCTCAATATATTATGATTCCAGATCTAAAAATATCCCATTTTAATATCTTATTTATCTAGCTCATTAGTAGTTTTCAATAAAGATATTTTAGAGATCTTGCAAATATGTGGTTCTACGTCTATTGTAAGATTTGATTATTGTCTGCTGTTATACTATCTATTACAACAGCACTATTTTTGGCTGAAGCTCCTCCCACATATTTATTTAATAAACATATTCTCGTTTGTGTGTGTGATATTTTAGAATGAACTACATTAAGTATTTGAAATTTAAAGACAAATCAATGCTGAAATGTTTGTTCTGTACTGTAAGACCTACACTGAATGAAATTTGGCGTATGATTTACTTTTAAACAAAATTACTAGTAAATTTCACAAATTACAAGCAACACATTCAATTAAATGTGAAATTTTGAAGCTGATAGACTGAAATAATATTTTCTAAAAACATACTCCAGTACCCGTTTATTTACACCTTTGGAAAAATAAAATATTTGGAAAATGTTGTTTTTATGCAGCCTCTTTTATCTTGGCATTCTATACTGCCTGTCTCAGCATTTCACAATGCACCAAACAAGAGCAGTATCATCATTCCATTGTGCTCACAGTACTGAGTGTGTGTACAGACCCAAGAGTGTTTCCAGCGACTGGAGACTGGAAAAATTCACCTAAAGAAAAAAGCCTACTATGATGGCCAAAAATCTGCCAGGGCTGTCTTACACTTAATGGACTGAGACTTATGATCAGTGCATACATCAAATCATAATGGATAGTAAATCATATAAAGTATATAAAATAGCCACGTCAATGAAAATTGCTATTATTTTCTTAATAGTGTAATTCATATATATTTTAAAGGCAAATACAAATACTACTATGATGTATACAAATGTACTTTGTAATTTAAATGCATCATCCTTTGAAAAAAATTGGGTAAAAGGTTTATACACACACACCTCTATGATTATAAAGGTTATCCACGGTGTCTGACAATCATATTATATCTTCCACATTGCTCATATTACAAAAATACCAAACTGCCTCAAAAAGAATTGAGCCATTGAGGGGTGCTGACTGATTGATTGTCTATGGACTTGGCACACCATTACTGCTGATGGGGTTGATGACCGAAATGCTTTACCTTATATGAAGACATGTAATGGACTATTTTGCTATTGTGGTATGTTACAAAGAATATGGGGGATGGGGGTGCACTTGGATAAAATAAGTGCAGTTAGCCTCTGCTTAATAGTCCTGTAATTTGAGGCTCTTTCAAACATCTGAGCCCCAATCCATGGGTCTGTTATTACTGCAACAGAGGGCAAAGACCTTTGAAATGAATTTAGGGTAATACACAGATTTGCTCTCCTTAGATCTCTTAAGGGAAGCATTTTTTTTTTTTATCAAAGATGTTATATTATCAAAACGAAATCCTTTTTTTTTTTTTTGTAATAAATAAATCTTCTTGTCACCATGTTCAGTATGTAATAACCCATAATGAGAGGGCCTAAAAATTCACCTAAAGAACAAAGCCTACTATTACACTTAATGGACTGAGACTTATGATCAGTGCATACATCAAATCATAATGGATAGTAAATCATATAAAGTATATAAAATAGCCACGTCAATGAAAATTGCTATTATTTTCTTAATAGTGTAATTCATATATATTTTAAAGGCAAATACAAATACTACTATGATGTATACAAATGTACTTTGTAATTTAAATGCATCATCCTTTGAAAAAATTGGGTAAAAGGTTTATACATACAGATCTCTTATAATGATATTGATTTTTAGTACTTCTCTTTCAGTGGTTTTCTAGGAAATGAATGAATGCTGATTTTTATTTATTCACTTTTAATGTTAACTAAGAATACAGTAAATGGATAAAGGCAAATACAAATACTACTTATGATGTATACAAATGTACTTTGTAATTTAAATGCATCATCCTTTGAAAAAATTGGGTAAAAGGTTTATACATACAGATCTCTTATAATGATATTGATTTTTAGTACTTCTCTTTCAGTGGTTTTCTAGGAAATGAATGAATGCTGATTTTTATTTATTCACTTTTAATGTTAACTAAGAATACAGTAAATGGAACTGATGAAAGAATACGTTCCGTACAGCCTGTTCTATTCAAATCTTTGCCATTTGTTGCTGAAGTGTTGTCCTCAAATGAACAATACAGCAAAAATTAATTAAATAAGACTTAGTTGTTTTTAAGAACATACTGCTTACACCAATTTTTATTAATAAAAATATAACTACTTGCACAAGCACACTGAGAGAACAGTACAGAAATATTCGGACAGTATTTTCTGCAAAATTAAGGTGCAGAAGCATCCACCAAAATATAAGCTGCATTTATCCAATGAGAAATAATTAAATTGGCCACTGAACAAAAAGGGCCTGTTTGTTTCATCTGGATCATATATGAAACTTTTTTTAGCGTGTTAATAAAGAAGCTGCACCATAACAATATATGAATAGTTTGTCTTTATAATTACAAAACCTCTTCTGGTAATACTATCTACAGATAATTATCTTAATGTCAGTGTATCTTTTACCATGTTAAGCTAACAAAAAAAAAAATTGCTTTAAAATGTTTACACAATTAAAGGTGTAAATGTTTGTCTTCTTATAAAGAAGATTTGCTGTGAACATGCTTGGGTGTTGAACAGTGCTCTCAGTAAATGAGTAATGGTACATGCAATCTTTGATGAATATGAAATCCTAAAGCACAATTTAAAATCATCTCAGTCCTTTTAAGCCTGCCCTAGTGAACTTGAACAGTGAATCTAGTGAATCCTAGAATCATTGTGCTTTGGAATTTAAGATTAGTTGAATTTTAGTTGATTAGTTGTTGAACTTCATATTTATCAATTATCTCCCAGTACAGATGACAGTCTTTTGAAAACTTTAAATCATCTTGCATTTGGCAAATGAAGTAGTCATGAGTTTGGCACATTCACAATTGTAACATTTCAGTGCATCATTACTTTTGGAGGGTAGGAGGAGTGCTTATTGCATTTGGTAATGGTGCATGGGCAGTCGTTATTGTCCAGGAGCTGGAATGGTCTGCTGAGGAGGGCATAATCTACCCTAGAGGGGCAGCAAAAAATCTGGCTGTGCCCACAATGCATGCCCGCTGCCGCCTGCAGGGGGCGAACTGGGCCCAGCCATCTGCTCACCTATGGGAATCTGCTTGAGAAGAAGAATACGCTGTGCTATCCATCACTGCCAAAGCTCTTTTTTGCCAGAGCAGAACAACACTGAAATTGCATTCCTCCCTTCAGCAGCATAGAAATGCATGGCTGCATCCAAGCACAACACACACTTACTTAACTCTTGGCACAAGTTATATATGCAGGGGAGGGGGCATGCTTACGACGGGGTGTTTGTGTGTACATGCATTGGCAAATTTGCACATGACATCCATAAGCGCTCAGGGAGAACGGGATGGCGAGCACTGAGGGAGGTGGAGCATGACACTGTGAAGTTTCTTGTACTTAAATGAATATTAATCTCAATGGACGGTATTTGTGGCATGCTGTCTGTTTACCAAAGACGGAAATCGACTTCTTAAGTTTATATGAAAACTGCATCAGTGACAAGTGGCTGATTACTACTATCAAGTCTGTGAAAACAAATGGGAAATAAATTTAAAAGAGATAATTCACCCAAAAATTAACATTTTGTCATCATTTACTTGCCCTCATATTGTTCCAAACCTGTATGAACTTCTTTCTTCTGTTGAACACAAAAGAAAATATTTTGAAGAATGTTGGTAACCAAACAGTTCCTGGTAGCCATTGACTTCATACAAGTTCCAAAACTGTAGGAGTTCAAACTCATACCGGTTTGGGTCAACTTGAGGGTGAGTAAATGATGACAAAGTGTTCATTTTTGGGAGAACTATCCTTTCATAGTAATATGAAAGGTATGTGAGCAGCACCGTAAATAAACACTTTAAATGTTTAACTGTTTCCCTTTCTCTGGTAATTGACAGGATGCCACAGATGATGTCCACAGACGTTAAGAATGATCTGAAATATTCCTTTAAGATGACGTAAAGAGCCCCTTGTAGGTGACAATCTGTCAGCAGATACACTGCTGATGCATTGGTAGGCAAATGTGGCTGCTTGTTCAAATTTGGAAAAAAGGAAAGTCATTTGGCAAAGGACTACTTCCTGTGAGAGTGGACACAAGCAGATTGCAGCCTTATCAGGTTCCACATGCTTCCATAAAATCGCTGCCAATTACCGAAACTCAATCTTGTCTTTGTTGACGTTATGTCTCTAAAATAAAACTGCTGCACGTATATTGTCTACTGATCATATTCTCAAGCTCGGGGGTGGTCAGATGTACCCTCCCATCTGAGAGAAGGGGTGTTGCAGAGGCTTGGTCTCTAGACACCAATCCTCTGCTGTTGGGTGGAGTGATTTATGACAGCCTCCAGCTCGTCACAGACAGGACCACCATCCTCTGTGAGTGTGCAGAGAGACACGACCCCTAGACAATACACGTATTTGGGTGTAGAATCCCGTTTCCATGGCAGTGAGCAGCAGAATGAGTAAAAAGCACACATGCAGCATGGTAAGTGTATGAAAGTATGTGACTGATAGAGCGGCAAACAGCATGCCCTGAGCTGAAGGCAGCTTGCTTTTGTCTGGGGCAAAATACGAAAGTGTTGAACAGCACAACATTACATTGTCCATTTGACGTAAGAAGGGGCAGTCTCCTCTCAGTCTCTATATGATTTTCCCATACATGCCTGACCCAGCAACCCCTATTCACTCTCTCCTCCTACTTCTCTCCAAACAGTTTCAGCGGTTTGTGTACTACAGCTCTTTAGGCACGGGCTATATGGCTACAATTCAGTCTACATCCGGCATTCCACTGCATTATGCACAGGCTCCAGAACGCATGCTTAGGCAGAATAGCAATCATTCTATCAGCTACCAAAATAAGACAAGAGATTTCATTAACACAACCATTACACAAATAGAATAGAAAAGCAAAGAATCTCCCAAACAAGGAAAGCTCCCATACTGTTGCCTCTAAGAGACATATTGCCATCTTCCTTTAAACAGAGGTTACCAAACGATTGTTAGCAGCTAAACGATTGCTTCTGAGTTCAGATCTTTGGGAAGAGGGGTGGGATTTGAAGTAGCAGAAACATTCCCTTGTTGCTAATTCGTTCCCAGAGGAACACTTTAATAAGATTTACTAGGATGCTGGATATGTGCATTTATTTATCATCTTGCTCAGTCTTTCACACTGCTTGAGCTGTCGCTACTGCAGTGTTGCTGCCACTCGCCCCTCAGTATTCATGATCCGTCTGTTCGTAGACGTCGCTTAAGGGAATACTTCCACCGTTTTGTGCTTGCTGATCATAAAAAGGGGAGAGACGGAAATGATAAGGGAAATGCTTCAAAGTTGTGGTCCCTCTCGCTTTTTCATGTTGTAATCACGAGAGCCAAGAGGTCGAGTGGCAGTGCATTGCACTTGTCTTGCTCCAGAACTATCAGTTGCCTATACGTAGTCCTGCAGGCTGTAGCCAGTCTTGTTATCCAGCGGTGAGAGAGAACAGTATTGGTGCTGGAGCTGGTCCTGTTGCTGCTGTTGTTGCAGCAGTTGCTGCTGCTGCTGCAGGAGGAGTTTGTCAGGAGGGAGAAGTATCAAATCCTGGGGGCCGTGTCGCTTACCCGAGCAGGACAGACAGAAAATGGATCCACCCACGAGAAGGAAACCAGACGAGACGAAGGCTACGTAGACGGCACCGCCCGGCTCGAACTTGTTGCTTTCAGGCACATTGGCGTCTAGGAAACTGACAATAACCTCATTTGTGTACCAGGAGGCAGGAACAAGGCAGAGAAAGCCAGAGGCCAGAAAGCAGGTGCCGGCAGCCATGGCAGCGTGACGTTTAGCACGCCGTCCCCCACCCCAGCGAGTGCACTTTAAACCCAAAGAGGCCAAACACAATCCCAGTGCTGCCAACACGCAGGAAAGCACCATAGTGGTGCGTGCCGTCTGCAGGTATGCAGGCAGTGCCAGAACAGAGTATTTTAGTGTACAGCTGAACATGCCTGTGCTGTACCAGGTGCAGTCCATCCACAGCCCCTGCATCTGCGAGATGGCAGTGATGATGTTGGAACCAACATCCGCGCTCACCTTCCAGTTAGGCAGTAACGTGGCCACCGTGGCACCTAGGATGCCTAGCAATGCCAGCACGAAGGCGAAGATCTGCGTGCCCGTGGACGCCATCCTGCCGCGTTCCTTAACTCTGCCAACATTCACACAAGCTTGCCTAGTCCCCTCTCTTTCGGCTGCAACTGTGATGGCAAAGACTCCTCAGCTCCGCCGCCTGCCTGAGGAAATAAGTGAGAGAATTAAACGAGTGTCCTCCTCCTCCCCCAGCACACTGGGAACAAAGAGAAGTATGCACACAGGATGATGAGGAAGCAGGTTCCTAACTGTGATTTTACTGCTGCCGTGCCTTTTCCTGTTCATGCCTCATATCCATATCTCTACTGGAGAACTGAGTTTTTAGTGGAGTGATAGAACATGCACGCATTGTTGCCATGTCTGTTAACTGGAGTCTGGTTCTGTTTTCCATTCGGTCAGGTAAATGAAATAAAGTATCGTTTCAGACACACAAGCACACAACTTGTCAGCACATTTTCTTTTTCCTTTGTTTTACAAAGGCAATGACAGAAATCTTTTAGGTTATGACTCATAGTGGAGGCTGAACGGTTTATTTCTAATACGGAGCGGAATGCAGAAATCCCGTCCTTACCTCGGCTGGTGCAGAGCGAGCTGTGACGCGTCAGGTTTCCGAGCACACACATATACACACGTACACACACTGCTAAATACAAAAACAGAGTATAGACGCCCGTAGTTGTGTCGTTAGAGGTCCGTTCATGTTATCCGTGTCTTCAGCAGCAGCGGTATGTTAGAGGACATCAGTGATGGAGCGACGATGCTGTTTTCAAAGCTGCACGAATGATGGTCTACGTCACGCAGCAGCGATCTCTCAACTTCACGCGCGTGAAAGTCTGTTGTTTGCTCCATATGCTCTCACGGCGATTTAAGAGCCGTCTGTGATCTAATGTCGTAAGCTTTTTTTATTCGATTTAACGTCGGTTTTGAATGCTTTCATTTATCCCGATTTTTTTCCTCAGAGACAAACGGTTTAACTCATACATTTTGAAAGATGTTTTTATATATATATTTTTTTAATGCTGTTTATTAGCTGATTTAAGCTGCATACATTAAATGTTTTGGATTGTAAGTATATAAATGTAACGAAAAAAGCATATTCTTATTTAAACATCTGTATGTTTTCCTGTAAAAAAAAAAATCGAAATATCCTTAAAATGATTTGAAACATGAAATTATTAAATTTATTACAAAAGTAATTCTATAAAATGTTAAGAAAATAATTGCAGTTTGTCATTTTGTTCTTTTGGCAGATATTTAGACTTGTTTTATGCATAAACTTTACTATATATATATACATATATACATATACATATATACACATATATATATACACATATATATATATACACATATATATATATATATATACACATATATCTCTCACATTTTGAAGATCTTATAAGATTTTAAAAGTCTTTTAGTGTGTACCCAGCATAAGGCATGACCCTTTCACCTGCTGTTAAAGGACTTTCACTATAGTGGCAATGCACCACAATAACCCTTAGCAGGAACATTCACTCTGCAGGAGGATGGACTCACAGCTACTGCCCCTATAAACCCTACACCCCCCACCCTGCCATCCTCCATCCACCCTCTACTGCCTGCAGGGTGGGAGTGGCTATATGACATTGGTTTAGAAATGACAAAGAGGGCAAAATCTATTATCTATCTATGTTTTGTGTAAACAAATTCTATAAGCACATTCAGGTTTAACAAATTACCAAAAAAATCCGTATTTTTACATAGGTGAAGCTGAAAGTGTAGCATGCTCTTATATTTAGTGGTGATGATCTTCATTTGAATGCATTTGGGCCCTAGAGGGATTTAAAAATGTTGTTGCTGGTTTGTGTGTCCTCACCTTGTGCATTTAAGTGCTGATGCTGGGATTGTGCTGGAAAATAAATAACTAAAATGTGTAAACAGTGTGTAAGGGGCTGACGTGTGAAGACACAGAAAGCAATTATATGCATGGTGCCTTGATTTTGTCACCCCTAGCTATCATGTGCAAAGGCTTGAGATGGACATCGAAATTGTCATTTCTTGAGGGACGGGGTGGGGTGTGCTTTTTTATAGTTTAGGATAAGATCCATTTGTTATTCACAGTTGCTGATGGAGACAATTCATTACCCTGCTGTAGCTGTTTGCCTGTAATGCAGATGTCAAAATGGTCTTACTGCAACTGCTACAGAAATGGCTGTTTAAATTCATTATAATAAATGGAAATTACTCTCTGCTGGGCAAGAGGGAAGTGCATGGGTTTCCACACTACCTTGATTTATTGCCTCTGTGCTTTTTCTTGTGACTTTACTGTTCAATGAAATAGGAATGCTTTCCACTGATCTAGCATCCGTAAAGTGCTTAAATATAGGGCCACCCCTCTTAACTAGCTTACCCTCCATGTCCATCTTGCCTTGTGTCTTCAACCAGACACCTTAGAAGCCTGTAGTCTCATATAGGCTTGAGAGAGTCTCCATGAGAATCAATTCATATCTGAAAAGCACATCAGTAGTTCCTTTGGTTCCCATCGATGCCTTGGGCTGTTCATAAAGCGTAGGACGAACCATTCCTACAGTAAAAACAAGCCTCCCTGGCAAAAGCACTGTCAGCCTGCTTACCTTCTCACTTTCGGCTTCCTCATCTGAGCTGAAGTAAGAGTGGTTGTCTTTTGAAAGTGCTGTCATGATTAATGTATCCCTACTCATTGTGGGACTATTTTCTCTTTTCCCTCACTGTATGCATTTCCTGCCGCATACTCCATTGTTTCACTGGCAGTTATGTAAAGGAAATAATGGTTACTCAGATAGCCCTGAGGAACTGCCACCTCAATTTGATCATTCTCCATTAGAAATGACAATTTAAAATTCACACCCTTTGTATTAAGGGAGCACTTGCGCTCAGGTGCAAATGAGAGAGAAGACCTATCTGTAGGGGGCAAATATAGTGTAGTGGTGCTGTTGAGTTTTACATGTAATGTGTGGAGGTTAAATAATGACAGTTTTTGCTGAAATTGACCCATATGGGTGTGTATAGGCCATTTGTGTTCTGCATTTATACCAGGATTAAAATAACCTGAGGGAAGGGGGGTATATTACAGGCAAGCTAGTGTGTGTGTACATACTGTATATAACTCTGCTTCTAAATCCTAAGATGTAAATATTGCATATTACTCAGTGTTTCTTTGTGACTTCTTAGGGACTTGAATCTACCTGGTCAAAATTTCAGACGCTTTCACAGAGGGAAGGGATGAAGTGTCTCATTTTAAAACCAGCATCCGAGCTGGGTAAATGACAAGTGGCCAAATTGATTTCTTGAATGTTGGTTCTCCTCCTGCATAGCTGAGGCAGATGAGTCAATGCTTTCTGAAAGCTCTTGTCACATCTTTCCTTCTCTGTCATCTCCAGTGTATTGCTGTTTTGTAGCCCTAAACACCAGAAGGGCTCTTCAAAACCTTGTATCCTGCTCCTAATTTATTTAAAATGGACCCAAGTGTGAAAGAATCTAGCCATAGTCTAGGAAGCCAAGAGTCCTGCATGATTGCAGCTCAACCAGTTGGGTTTACAGTATGTTAAATCACAGTAAGGCATGCAGCTGAAATGCAGCACAAATCAATTTGCATTTTCTCTTTATCACCTACAACTAATTGTAGGTGATCTTTCGTATCTCCATTATCTTCATCACACATCTCCATTCTGGGGGCATTCCAGCACATCTCTGTAATTTAAGGCAAAGTATATCCCCTAGATATTATACAGGTTTGAGCTTTCACTTAATCGATTAAGTTCAGAATCCACACTCTGGATTAATACAGATAAAAATTTGTTCTGTTTCAGGTCGGTAACTGGTTGTGGAGCTACCAAAATTACGTCTTCCGCTACAATTACACGAGAGAAACCGGTTTTAGCCTGGGTACAGCAGACGTCTGTGCCGATTTTGCATAATGAAAAGATGCACTGTCCTTTACTGCTGATCGGCGAACCAGGGGAGATAGAAGCTGAAGCATCCCCTACATCATCACTAGACTGTGGCTATTAAGATAATTTAGGAAACAACAGTGTAACAAGACACTTACTATTCACATTTGAAGAGACTTGTTTTGATGGTCCTTCAAACAGGTGTTACTGTAGCAACCGGAACTGGCTTGTCTTCGTGCAGCGTCACCCACCTCCTCCTCTCCCAACCCTCTGCTTTTCTTCACTCGTATATCCCTCTTGCGCTAGTTTCCATTCCGATTCTCCCCCTCACTCGAGTGGGAGTAGCTTGTGAAAATGGTCTCCAGGTCTGACTGTAACACTGTGTGTGTTTTCATCTCGTCACCCGTGCGTAGGTGGATATGGGGGTGGTACACTTCACTCCGCTGGCTCAGCCCCAGATCCAGCAGCCCTTCAAGCTGGTCGAGAGGATTGTCAAAAATGCCTTCCAGTTCCGGAGGAAGCACTGCCGCAGAGGACTTGAGTAAGCATTTCCCTGGCATTCTGTAAACTACTTTTCAAAACTCCTATCTCTTTACCTCTATACTCAGTGTTTCATTTGACTACAACTAAGCACTGGATTTTAGTCAGGGTAGATACAGAGATATGAAGTACAGTGTTGAGTGTTCATCCAGCAAAGCATTAAATACATACTTTGAAAAAAGTAAATTCAGGGATGTCCAGTCTCTCTTCTGAAAGGCCACTGTCCTTCAAAGTTCAGCTCCGATCCTAATTAAACACAGCTGAATCTGAAGCGAATCAAGGTGTTCAGGATTACTAGAAACCTCCAGGCAGGTGTGTTGGGGCAGGTTGGAGCTCAATGCTGCAGGTAGTTGGCCCTTCAGAAGCTGGAAGTTGGGAAGGAGCTCACCACTGAAGGGAATGTGAGGGAGAACATCTGTAATTTCAGCAGCAACATCAACTATGTGTCGCCTCTTTTCTAGTTTGACAAGCGTTAAGCGAACATTCAGAACACACAGACCATATAACTTCACTTCCATGCCACTTCTCAAGTTTTCTACGTTAACTCATTGTGTCGGCGTGTGATGACTGTTTTTTTTCCTTTGCTGCAGGATGCTGTTCCCAGAGTCTCAGCGTCAAGAATTGACGGAAGAGTTGCTGCGCAGTGCTGATGTGGATCCCACACTGCGGCCCACAGAGATCTCTATTTCTGAATTCAGGGCTTTAGCAGATGCCTACAGTAAGCTTTGCAAGGAGAACCAAGGCCTCATTGACTATGACTTCAGAGAGGAACTGAAACTCAGGCATCAGGCAATGAGACAGTTGGGCAGCAACCGTAAAGGGCTTCACCTTCACACCACAATAGAGGAAAATGTTAACGACAAGCACTAACGCTGCAGACAGCAGACTCTTAATGGCGACATTTTCATCAGTTATCATAATTTATTTTTTTTTTTAAGCTAAAAAAAAACATTGAGTTTGACATTTAAGCACTCTGCAAGGGCAAGGCGAAGAAAAGCTTTTAGGAAATGCAAGGGGATTCAAATAAAGTTATGGGAGATATAGTTTGAGAGCACTGTGAATTATCACATAATTTTTTCATAATTTGCTTTGTAGGTAGGAAGGAAAATTAAATTAATCAGTTCCAGTTCCAGTCTCCCTTTCTGTATTGAACTGAGGAAGAGAGGGGGTTGTCCAGGAAACCTGTCATATCATAAAGCAGCTATGGGAATGCTTTAATCAATTTACAGCTAGAGACTGACAACCATCTGTCAGAGAAAAAAAAACATTTGCCATCATTACCTAAAAATAATTTGACTGATGAAAAAATTATTTTTCCTAGCCTTTTTACAGTTCTTTTTTTTTTTAATTGCTTAGACACTAAAAGTGCTGCTTTAGGCCCACTCAGTGAGGCCCAACCATTCACTCATATACCTAATCTTTAGACCAAGTCAGCAAAACTATAAGCACATTACGTGCTTTAAACTCAGTTTGCTATTGTAAAACAAACTTTTTGCAAGACTCTAAACACAGTTCTCTACATTACACACATCATTCAAAACTAACAGCTCTTTTGTTTCATTTGGGAAGCACTGCCACTTAAATGGCACACTCATTTACTGATGACCTACACCCAGTGATCATGTGTGAAAATACATACATAATTTGTTCACTTAGAAATCAAAACTCAGTGTTTTGAGAAATATTTACCCCCTTTCATTTCTGTTTACATTGTGTATATGTATATATATGATTATATATACATGTGTGTGTGTATGTACGTACAGTACATATATAGGTAATTTCAGTATTGATTCAGTTCAGTTGCATAACTAGTTATGACATAATTAATCAGTTGTACATACATACTGTATATACAGTGTATATGTGCATATGCATGTACTGTATGTGCGAGTGCTATGACAAACTCCTGTGCTCCACTGCAATCTGAACATGCAAAAGACACATGGGAGTAGTGTTTTACATTTTTTGTGTGTAATTCGGCATGTATGTGGCTAATTATTGTATGTTTGTGTGTACAGTTACTGTGAAAAAACTATTTTTAGAAGAGTTCATTTTGAATGAAGTGTTTGCTTTTGCAAGATTCATGTGACGTTTTGCATGTTGTGTGTGTGTGTTTTGTGTGTAGAGTTTTGAGAAATTGAACCATATAGTTTAAAAAACTGTTTGTAAGCATTTTTTTTTTTTAAACTGTAATGTGTGCTAATGAGATGTGTGTTCTTTGTGTCCCTAAGACTTGGCTCTTTTCTTCATAATGTTCAAATCGAATGCTGAATGCGTGATTCAATTGTCACTTAATGTGTGCATTTTACTCCTTTGTTTTTATCAAAAAAACAAAAATATTTTTTGCTGCTTTTTGCAAAAAACAGGAAATAATTAGGACAAAAAAATATTCAATGTAATCAGACACCTTTTTATTACAGTTTTGGGCTGTGAAGTGTCAAAAGTATATAAACTCTTAAAATTAAGTTACAGTGACTCATGAAAAAATACTATTTACACATTTAAACATTCTAAAAAAAGACTGCAGGCTTTATTTCAGAGGTACATTTCCAGCATAGCACATATAAATTCCTGAATGAATGGTTTCAGCTGACCATGATTTTGTAACAAAGGTATGGGCAGTGCTTAATTTGTAAATTGCAAGGTCCCGGAACAAAGCAGGGTGACCGACCCGGCAAGTTATCAGAGGAGGGAGAGGTAACGGAGCATTGGTGGACCAACTTAAGTGATTAACAGCTTGCATCGGTTGCTTTTATAGTGTGCTCTAAAACTCTAAAAGTACTCTAAAAGATCATGGGTTATTTTATTTCAACCCAAACTGTTTTTAGTGTTTGGGAGGTTTTTGTGTAACCCAATTCCTTGGACAGGACAGTCGCAACAACCCAGCGGTTGTAATAAGTGCGGATATTTTGCATCCTCTTCAGGGGCCTCGTTTATAAAATGTTGCATATAAACCATCCTAAATTTGTTCTAAGATCATTTCTCAAAAGTGCGTTCGTGCGATTCAGAGAAAACGAACATGCGCACAAAAACACGTGCGTACACCTCTCTTCCAGATGTGACATTTATAAATCGCAAATGATCTTGAAATTGACTGGTGTCAGATCTCCGCCTTGTAAACGCCCCCTAATTAATATCATTACCATATAAAAGAACAGACGCCAATATCCGACTTTCTATGCTTGAGAATGAAGAGCACAAAGAAAAAAAAAAAACTTTCCCAGACAGCAACATAGTGTTGGCCCAGATCCGGCCCACATCTGGCCCATGTGAAATCCATTCATACAATACATTTAAACTGAGCTACTTTAATACCATCTCCGAACTTTCTACCACGACT